CCTCCTCCTCCTCCTCCTCCTCCTCCTTCTCCTCCTCCTCCTCCCCGTCCTCCTCCTCATCCTCCCTCCACCTCCTCCTCCCCCTGGCTTGATGGAGCGCAACATTCATCCACTCGAGGCCGGGAGGGGGGAGAGGGAGTGGGTGAAGGGAGGGGAAACTTAGCTGACACGCAACACGTGCCGTGTTCAAGAAATGCGTGATAACACGTTGCGCGTTGGGTCGGCACATGTTGGTCCACTTTTTGAGAGCGCATCGCGCCAGACCTACGATGTCAGCTTACGTGTTGAGCTCCGTGACATCACGCTACGTGATGCGCGTTGCGTACCGGGCCAGCTAAGGAAGGTGTGGCCCAGGTTCTCTCTGGTTGTAGCAGCCAGTCCATGGAATTCCGAAAGCTGGGTTTCAAGACAAGGGGGAATGACAAGTTCACCAGGGAGAGCTCCGAGGACTGCTGCGATGTGGCAGGGATCCTACACGTGGGGCTGATCTTCCTAAAAATGAAACCCAAAGGCATCTGGACGATGGCGACGCATGCACGGGGGGGAGAGGGGAGGGGATGACGAGGAGGAGAGACCGAAAATGGCCGAAGGCCCCAATGAATGTGCGATGAGAGCGCGCTGCAGTGAAATCATTTGGACCTTAAAAATAGGCAACAGAGGTCCTCGCCCACGACCTCCCGTCCTCCTCCTCAGCCCCCCTCCCCTGCGCGACATGGGGCCTCAGAGCTTTACGAAATATGTGCAGTTTCGCCAACTGCCATGTGGGTTGCGACTCAACTTCACAACTGCCAACAATTCTGAGCGTAGCAAGTGCCATATTGCAAGGAACCTGCATGCCCCGAGGGCGGCTACTGCTAATTTACAAGCCGACGCGGCGGTTTGGTTTATCAGCTTGGCGGCATCCAGATCAGTTTGGTCAATGTTGGAAAAACATTGATCGAGCTTAATGTTCAAGCACCTACAATTGAGCAGACCGCACAGATAGTGGGCTCGGGCGCGATACTGACAGACTTGGGTTCGTTCCAAGCGGCACCGCCTATTCCAAAAACCGTGCATCTCAGCACGACATTGCCAACATCAGCTTGGGAGTTCACTCAGCATCCAAAGCCAAAGAGAACAGTTCCGAGGAAAACCACAAGCTGTTGCCACAGGGTTTCGGCCGACGTGAAGTGGGTCATATGGAGCACGGACAAAAGGCAAGTGCAATCCAAGATCCGTCCCAACCTTCTCCTCAACCCACCCTGCCCGACAAACACGCCTCGCCTCGAACCTCCTCCTCCTCTTCCTACGCACCCTTCCGCTGCCCCTGTTCTCAATGGAAGATCTCCAGACCTCGCGGCACTCAGAGAACTACCCAAGTGGACACGGACGGGCCTTCGCCAGAGAGTGGAGGCTGGGACGCATATCTTCAAGTGAAAAGCTTCGTCGCGTTCGGCTAAGTTCGTCAAGGATTCCAAATGGTCTTCATCACATTTCGTGGGCAGCAACGACATGACAATGTGCATGCGTCATTTTACAACGGTGCCAGGTATACTCCCCGGCGCAATCCGACTTTGCGCGGCATGCCCACGCGGGAGGCAAGGACGCCCGGCAGACCCATGTCACGACGGCTTCGTTCGAAACGCTTGCCAAGAGAAAGCTCGACAGATGCCGCGGCGCATTGCACGGCGGGAGCGAAGCAGGGGGCGCCCTTCCAAAACGCTACTTCAGCGATAATTCCTACGGCTGTGTTTTCCCTGACACACGCAGGTCCTTTGCTTTTCCCAGGCACCCGCAAAGTGGGCGTCAAACTCGTTCCCCCGTTGATTGGCCTTCTCTTCCGCCACCTTGATTTCGCGGACGGCGTCGTGCGTGGCAGGGGTAACCCCGTGCTATCGTCTCACTTTCAATCCCACGAGCCCTCTGGGCGCAGGTGGTCTATCATAAACCGAATGAAAGGCCTGCATCGCGTAAACACCCATGTAGAGATCAGAATGGCCTGAATAAACGGCTTGCCTGTAAGTTGACTGAATGCGTTTTCCACTTCGAGCCATTTCGCATCGCGCAGCCGGGTCAAGGGCAACATCGTGGCACTGATGCGAAGTACATAAAAAGAGCACACTGGGAAAGTCTTAAACACGACCATGGTAATTCCAAGAAAAGTATTTCGGCGAGTGCCGGTCACACATCACAGAATCGTAAACTGCATGCTCGTCTTTTCGAAAGCTTCGTCAAAGCGCCAGTGGTCTGAGGCAGAGGAGAGCGTCGCCGCTTCGACTGATCTGAACGATCCTTCTTCTCGGCCCCCCACGAAACTTCGGTCCATTGAATAGTTCGCAGACCCTCCTTCGGAAAGTACCCACGATGACCCGTGCGATGCATCGTCAATCAGACGATTGCGTAACGGATCGGCAAGCTTGCCCCGGCAAACGTGCAATGCTTCGCACCTCTCTCGAACCAAGCCATGCTGAAAGCATGTATGCTGCAGAAGATACAAATCAGAGCCCAAACAACAAACATCATATCATATCATACTGATCTTACATTACACAACACTTGCAAGCTGGGAAGACGCCCAAATACGTCACAACAGCGAAGCAAAATATAAAGAGTTCGGGTTCCGATTCCATACTCACGCAGATCCAGCAAAAGATACTACAAACAGTCGGGAGATACTTGAAAATGTAATTCGGGCTAGGTTCAGAGTTTAAGTTTCTGTTCGAACTCAAACTTCGAGCTCTTCAGAAAGAAAAGATTCGAGTTCGAGTTCGAGCCCGATATCGAACTTCGAACTGCGCCAAATCGGAATGTTCGAAATCGAGGCCGAACTCGAACTGCCTATCCCGCCAGCGCGCCGGAATTACTCTCTGGCTTCGCCGCTTCGCTCTTAGGAAGCTCTACGAGTCATTATGCAAAACTTCTCTTGAGAATTCTCGAGCCAACTAGCCCACCAGCACGCCGGAATTACGCTAAAGCTTCGCCGCTTCACACTTGAAGAAGCTCTACGAGTCAAGTTCGCGCGACCATTATCATCTGGAAAGATGTACCCCGACGGCCGACGTTTGCTTCTAAGTGGAAGCCGGCGGTAAGCCGTCAACCGTGGTTTTTTGGGGTTTGCGGGGGCTCCAGGGCGCTGTCCGCAGCGCCGCCCGACTGGGCGCCTAGCGAGCCTAGCAGGTCTAAGCGGAGGGCGCGTGTGAGCGCCTCGGCGGCAGCCAGTTCACAATCTGTGATCGTGGAATGCGGTGGTAAAAGAAAAGCACTGGAGGCGATGTCCCTCCAAACGAGGGTATCTCTTGGCTCACTCCCAGGCGTCCTCCTGCGGGCTATCTGGCGAGAGCCGAATGGAGAAGGAGCGGTGTGGTAGGTCGGACCCCACTGACTGTAATCCAAGAAGCCTTTCTGCAGCCAAAAAACAACATCCGCAACCGTTGCCGTCCACTCCCCCATCGTATGCCCCACGATAGGCGACGTGTATAAGATATTGTGACTCAATCGGACTGCACGCAACCTGATAGGAGTAGAAAGTGCGACCCTCTCGGGCCAAGTGGGTGAGCTCGTCGGCCCTGGTGTTATCTTCCCTGTACTCATGTCGAAATATGCCCCGTCCTATGTTCGCCGCGCGGACGTTGGCTCGGCAGCTCAACTCATACATTGTCTCCACACACTCCGCAACTCTGTCGGCAGAACCCTGATTATGGCACCTCCACCTCCCCTGGAGCCACGATGAGACCAGTAGTGAGTCCCCTTGGAGGTCCACGCCTATCCCCTCGCTCAAGACGTCCCAAACCGTAGCACGCTGGCATATAGTGGCCAAACGCTTGGACTGTTTCTCAAGGGCCTCAGGAGTCGTTCCCTCCGTGGACTGCTTGGCTTCGACATGGGTGGAGCTCCAGCTGGGACCTGCTGGCAACGCACCAATAGTCAAAGATTGTATGTTTATCGAAGTGTCCCAAGATCGTCCGCCACAACTTCACAAAGCCCGTGCGTGCGTTGTCAATACTGTCCCACCAACAGGGTCCCAAGACTTCCCTATACGGGTACTGCCAGGACCGTTGACCTATACAAGTGGGACCAAACCGTCTCCTGGTGCCCGAGCGTGCCAGTGAGAGCTGCCCCGATGCATGCAAACAAGATGTCAGGGCGTCTCTCCGAGACGTCCACTCAGGATTGTCGAGGAGCAAGGTGCCTCGGCTGTCCAAAAAAGTACGTGGGCACCGTCCGTCCCCTCTGTCGATCTTCCGTCTCACATCCCTCCCCTCATCCGTATCCGTCTCCCTGGCAGTGTATCGGGAATGGATATCCAGCTGACCCTGCACATACTGGGCCACACTTCTTGCAACATTGAAACTGCGTGCGCATATAAACTGTGTGATAGATTGAAAACCCTCATCACAAAACTGCCGTCGGACGTGGTCTAATCGTCGTGGTCTCCAGATGTCCCACCTCTCATGGGCTGGCTTCCTGCGTCCGAACATAGACATGAGTA